TCTCTGTGCTGGCTGGCTGTTGGGCGCACCTCCCTTCCCATTCAGGAACCCAACCTACCAAGCCTCAACTGGAAAAGTAAGAATAGTAGTGTCCCACAGTGTCTTTTTTGACACTACCATTAGGAGTGAAAGTCAGACATGTTCATATCCTACACATAGGGGCTTTAATGTTTATCATTGAGGTCAGAAAGAAACCAAAAAATAATTATATAAAATTTGTTATTTTACAATCCCATGCAAGTTGTACTACAATAATTAATCTGTATTCATGTATTGTTGAAAATAATTAGATTGTTGTGGAGTGTAAGGAACCATGGCCTCCTGGATTCTATCTGGTCCTGGGCTACATTGGCCTATTGGCTTTCCTCTGCCTCCTCCTCGCGTTCCTCGGACGCAAACTACCTGATACATTCAATGAGGCCAAGCTCATCACCTTCAGCATGCTGATCTTTTGGGCCGTGTGGATTTCTTTCATCCCAGCTTATGTCAGCTCTCCTGGGAAATTCACTGTGGCTGTGGAAGTATTTGCTATATTAGCTTCCACTTTTGGACTACTACTATGTATTTTTGTGCCTAAATGTTATATAATTTTACTGCGGCCTGAGAGAAACATTAAAAAAGGAATGACTGGGAAACATCCGAAATGAACGCACTTTTTTATTTGAAATTATGAAAGACATTTTTACAGTCAAAATTTAAAAAAACAATCTGCTGTGCTTATTTGAATGTGAAATGAAATAAAATGCCACATGAAACATGTTTCCATGTTTTGATTTTTTCTTTAAGTAAGAGATAAGACAGATTTTATTGATCCCATACTGGGGAAATACAAGTAGAGATTAGACTAAAGTTTTCCTCATTAGCGTCTGGATATGTTTTCCTTTCACTGTACAGTGTCCTATAGATAATAACTCTTTATCTGGTGAGAAGTTAAATTCCTTTCCTCCTTTTTTAGGTGTTAAAATGTGCATTCCAAATGGTAAATAATGCATTATAAAATGGAAAATTCAGTTCCTTAATTATGATGGGCTCAGCTGCGTTCAAAGCGTTCAAAAACATGTAAACACACACCTGTGACTGCATTATATTAGTATTACTGTGCCAGAAGGGTCTTGTCAAAAAAGTCTGGCTTGATGTGCAGCTGCATATGGGACGCAGAACTAAAGAGGGCAACCGCCAGCTGAAACCTGAATCAATTATCATCCACCAGAAAAGGAAGAAATATGTAACGCTGTCGGTCAACAAATGCACCAAAAATACAAACAAAGAAAGCAGGTGGGGATTTATGTTTGACCAGCCAGGGAACCTATGTCCTGTCGCCTCATTGGAGAAATACGTCTTGTTGCTGCTGACGAATCCTCCAGCCTTAAATTTTCATCCAAAGCATACAAACTACACCAACGATCTGTCTTAAGTTAAAATTTTACTTTTGCTAGCATTCATGTCTTTATTTATAGCCTATGCTTAACTTTCTTTGGTTATGTTATCACTTGCCAGTGACATATAATAATTATTATTATTCTGAAAAGTGAGCATAATAGTTGCAGATGGTAGGCCATGATTTACATGGATTTTTTTTTCCTTTCTCCTAACGTTAGGTATACTAGAGGGACCACAGGGTTGAACTTCCTTTTAGTTATATTTGATTGTCACATTTTATAATTATAGTGATTAAATCCAAATACTATAAAGCCAAATACAAATTTGCTGTTACGGTATTGTTTTACCTATCTTTTTTCATCAGAAAATAGGTGATTTAGATATTTTTCAGATCACATCTACTGTGTGCCTATTACTGGAAACAAAGGAACCAGAGTAGAACAGTGACTATTAAGAATCCCTGGGAGCTGAGGCAGATAAGCTGCAGGACATAACAGGAAAAACGTGTTTGGCAAAAAAAAGAAAGCCAGAGTTTGTGATAGTTTCCAATGTAGAAAATCAATTCCTGCCCTCCATCTGTCACAGAAATGCAGTGAGCAAAATATGCAAACAACCCGAAATAGGTGCGTGTCGTCACCGTTTTTACAGTGAAAGGGTTTTAGCAATTTACACAGCAATGGTAACAGTGGCGTTTTCAAATGATTACGCCCGAAATCTCTCATTATTTGGGAATGCACAAATAATGGAAAGAGATAAATGACTGAAGTTGTTCATTATTTTTCGGAAAATTCTCTTGACTGAAAATAACCTTTTAAATGTTTAAACAGTTTTATCATTTTCAGTCTTTATCTATCTCAGAGAAAAAAACAATGTTAAAATTGCGGTATCTACAAAATCCAAGACAAACCGCGGTAAGTGCAGTTACTGTGGTGTTCCTTGGTTTCTCAGACTTTTAGCTTTGAACTTTTAATTCCCTAGATTTTTAAGCCATAAAAATGACTAAGTGAATACATATTTAATAAACACATAACCACTGTTCTACCTAAAATGCATGTGTCTGGCTATTCAAACATTTTTAAAGCCATTTGTCTCAGTTTCATTGTTATTGTAGTTACTGTGGTTAGGCTAGTAACTATCAGTTCCAATCACGTTATTTGTGGTTTCCCATATAATGTAATCTGTTTTGGATACATCCCTACCCTTGGTCAGTTTCGCAACTTGCAGGTTGGCCTGAGTGGCTACTCATTCCCAGGTTCGACCTCTGCGTCTTGCAGGGATGTTTATCTGTTTTCCATTGGTCAGTCTTGCTTCTTACAGACAAACTTGTGCAGTCCTTCTGCCTCTCAGGCTTGGCCTTTTCATCTTGTGGGATTTTGGACTGGTTGGTATGTAAATAATGTTTAAATTTGAGACTTTCATGATTTCTGCCCAGTCATAAAAATCGTTACTATGTTATTTTCATTCATAATAGTAGCACATTATTTATGTATATCATAAATAACATGTTGATTCTAATATGTACTGTACAGTAGAGATACTGAAACTGTTTTGGCAATTTAGCTTGGTTGATGTGTCTATTGTGAATAGGCTCATAGAAGCATCATTAAATCTTTTGATAACAACAAAACTGTTGCTTTTCTTTGTGATTGGTTAATCCAACAATGACTCGTATGACCTACGAAATGAAGCAAGCATGACAGTTTTTATATAGTCTACTTCATTAGCCTTTCAGAGAATCTGTTGGAGAACCATCGTCTCCAGCACACACACTGTCTTCATGGGGTCTGTATGGACACTGCATTCAAGCCTTGTTAGGGCTTCACCCTGGCTGCTTCTTGGGACATTGTTTATCTTTCTTTTTCCAGTGTTCTCTGATGTTCGTAAATATGCAAAGGAAAGGAAAGAACTACGTTTAGAGAGAGGTGTGGTGAAAGAAGAAGAGACTGGTTTAGGGGTAGAGGGAGTGATTGGTGTTGCTTCTAACTTACCTCAATGTGTGAAACTGACAGACAGTGAGCCTCTGGCCCTGCAGTCTGGAGGAGATGTTGTGATTGGAGGGTTTTTCCCTCTTCATTATGTGGCGCCTCAACCACAGCACAGTTACCACAGCAAACCTCAGCTCACACCTTGCACGAGGTGAGGATACTCAAATCTGATAGAGTTCCATGTTAAAAATCTCACATTGTTACACAAATAGGTTATTGAAATAATTTCCTCTTGCTGTGATTATATTGTATTGCTGTTAAACTGTTTACATGTCCTGATATATGTTGTGCTGTGATACTGTTTTTTTCCGCCTCATGATCAATTACATACACTACATCCAACTTTATTTAAACTTCTGCAGCTTTGACCACAGAGCCTTCCGCTGGATGATGACCATGGTGTTTGCAGTGGAGGAAATTAACCGTAATTCAAGCCTGTTACCAGGTGTTAAACTAGGCTACCGAATCATGGACAGCTGTGACCATATCCACACCAGCCTGCAAGCTCTTTTCTCTTTAGTCACTCACTCTACAGCAGTGATGAGTGAGGTGACACAAATGGAAGAAACTGAAAAAAGATTAGATATGCTAAAGGACAGAAATACTGAAATGGAAGGAGTAAAGATAGAAAACACAACAAAGGATATGATGCTGACCACAGTCAGAACGAGAGACACTGAAATTAGTAGTGCAATGCCTCACAGTCTTAAAATAAATGGGAATTACACTAAGGAAAATGTAACAGAGGAGAGAATGGATAGGAGTACACAACCTGAAACTTTGCCCTCATGTCTGGCTGATTCTCCTGTGTCTGCTGTGATCGGCCTTGCATCTTCTTCCCCTACAAGAGCTGTAGCTCAGGTGCTTGGCCCTTTCAACCTCCCACTGGTAAGAAAGGGATGAAAAGACAGAATGATACACAGTACTCATTGTTTTATACGCTGTTCTTCCACTCACTCATCACACAACAATGTTTAAAAATATTTAATAATGTTCTGGTTTGGGCTTCTATCAAATCTCATTAAAGATAAAGTTAACTTATCTCCCTATAGGTGAGTTATTTTGCCACTTGCACGTGCCTTACTGACAAGCGTATGTACCCGTCATTCTTGCGGACCGTGCCGAGTGATCTCTTTCAAGTTAGAGGTCTTGTTCAGCTGGTCACCTTCTTAGGCTGGTTCTGGGTGGGCACAATAGAGACCACGGTGAGATAAAGACTTTTTTCATCACCCGACTGTTAAAAAAGTAATTTAACCATGCCAACATGATTCACAACACCTTTCTCTATACATTTCAGGATGACTACAGTCACTATGGAATCCAAGCATTCACTAATCAGTTTAAACAACAAGGTGGGTGTCTGGCATTTCATCTGACTATCCCCAAATCACCCACAGTGACTGAAATACAAGAAATGGCAGACAGGCTGCAGAGTTCAACCGCACAGGTAGTGGTGGTCTTTGCTTCTGAGGTACAGCTGCTGGAACTATTGTTAGAGGTAAGCACTCTATGTCTCAGTTAATGTATATAACTAGGCATAACATTTGACAATATGCTTTAGTTAGTTAATATACAAATTAGGAATATCAAAGGAATGTTGGTGCTCGTGATAATCTGTTTTGCTATCATTCATTATCAAATTTCTTCATGCCTTTTTTTCCAGTTGGCTCAGAGAAATGTGACGGGGATCCAGTGGGTAGCTAGTGAATCCTGGGTGGCTGCTAGTGTGCTGACTTCACCCCACTTCCACCCTCTCTTAGAGGGCACACTGGGCTTCTCTTTCCCTGGAGTTAGTATTCCTGGCTTAAAAGAGTTTTTGTTGAATGTCTGCCCTTCTCCCAAACCTGGGATGGAATTTGTCAACATGTTCTGGGAAGAGCTGTTTGGCTGTAGGCTTGAGTTTAGTTCAGACTCTCAAAACAATTCAACATACAGCACATTCAAGGCGTCAGATGATGAAAAGCCTATATGCACTGGTTCAGAGGATCTGAGGTACACTGACAGCAGTTATACTAATGTATCCCCGGTCAGAATATCTTATAATGTGTATAAAGCTGTATACGCAATTGCCCATGCTCTGCACACTTTATTGAACTGTGGTTCTGAAGGATATGAGGGACTGTGTGAGAAACATAAATCATTTACTACTAGGCAGGTAAGTTGAACAACTACAAAATGTTTAAATCAAATATTTGAATTATGTAATTATTACATTTTCTTTTAATCATTCTTTGTCCTGTTGTTCTTTTTGCTGTTTCTTTCTTATTTCACACAGTTACTGCATCATCTGAAGATGGTGAATTTCACCAACCAGTTTGAAGAGAAAGTATATTTTGACTCCAATGGAGAGCCGGTCCCCCTCTATGATATCATTAACTGGCAGAAGGACAGCAAGGGTGAAATTAGGTAGAATATTATACTTCAAAACAAAATCTTCAAGACACAAGAAAACAAATTGTGTCTTTAAGGAATCATGTCATTCATGTTCATTGTAGCTATTTAATTTTTATCCAAGTTATGATAAAAATCTGTGACACATATTGTTTGGCCTGATTGCACAAATTTTATGTTGTGTTTAGATTTGTCAAAGTGGGAAGCTATGATGGCTCGGCTCCAATGAAACAACAGTTGCAGATGGAGCAGAGCGCCATTGTATGGACAAAAGGACAGTCACAGGTGGGGCATATGTCTCCTAAACTGATTTCATATATGTTTTAAATATTTAAGTTTTGTTCATAGAATACCTGGTCTACGTGATTATTATTATTATTATTATGTTATTTTTCTTATCTAAAAACCCATTGTTCCACCAAGCATGTAGTCTGCAGCAAAGCAAATATTGGTGTGTAATTTTACACCTTTTTGTTCAGGTGCCTGTATCTCAATGTAGCGCTCCATGCTCCCCTGGCAGCCGGCAGGCCAGACGTCCCGGAAAGCCCCACTGCTGCTTTGATTGTTTGCCCTGTGCAGATGGAGAGATAAGCAACCAGACTGGTAGCCCATGTTTTTTCATTCATATATTTCATTCATATATGTGTTTGAAGTTCTGTAAGAAGCAGAAGGCCATTAAAATCACATAAATGTTGTGTGGATGCAAACTGTTGCTGTGTAGAGTTTAAGATTGTGTGTGTTGACTGTATGTGTCCCCAAAGGTTCCACGGAGTGCACAAAATGTCCTGAGTACTACTGGTCAGACAAAGACAAGGTGAAATGTGTGGCCGGGGTTGAAGAATTCCTGTCTTTCTACGACACCATGGGCATCATCCTGGTTGCACTCACACTGCTGGGTGTCATCCTGACAATCGTCATCACTAGTGTCTTTCACCGTTTCCGCTCCACACCAATTGTCAAGGCCAACAACTCAGAAATAAGTTTCTTATTACTCCTGTCGCTCAAGCTCTGCTTCCTGTGTTCCCTGGTGTTCATTGGCCAGCCATCTGTATGGACATGTAGGCTCCGCCAGGCGGCATTCGGGATCAGCTTTGTCCTCTGTCTGTCCTGCCTCCTTGTTAAGACCATTGTGGTTCTCTTGGCTTTCCGGGCTAGTGCACCTGGTTCCAGAGCTGTGAAGCTGTTTGGTCCCTCTCAACAGAGGACTCTAATCCTGTGCACCACAGCTCCTCAGGTGGGAGGGGCTAAAGAACGCACCATTCATCTCAATCTCCAACTTCTGGTGACCATTTAAGTTTTTAGTTTGTTTTACTTAATTGGCATAGTGTTCCCATTTTGGCTGTCAGAGTTTTGTCTCTGTGCTGGCTGGCTGTTGGGTGCGCCTCCCTTCCCATTCAGGAACCCAACCTACCAAGCCTCAACTGGAAAAGTAAGAAAATGTCCCAAAGTGTCTTTTTTGACACTACTATTAGGACTTCCCAAAGTCCGAAATGTTCAAATCATACACATAAGGACTTTAATGTTTATCATTAAGATTCGAAAGGAACCAAAGATAATAATAAAAAATTAGTTACTTCACACCCTCATGCAAATTTGAATATATTAATTGACTCCTATTCGTGTATTGTTGGACATAATTAGATTGTTGTGGAGTGTAAGGAACCATGGCCTCCTGGCTTTTATCTGGTCCTGGGCTACATTGGCCTATTGGCCTTCCTCTGCCTCCTCCTCGCGTTCCTCGGACGCAAACTACCTGATACGTTCAATGAGGCCAAGCTCATCACCTTCAGCATGCTGATCTTCTGGGCCGTGTGGATCTCTTTCATTCCAGCTTATGTCAGCTCTCCTGGGAAGTTCACTGTGGCTGTGGAAGTATTTGCTATATTATCCTCCAGTTTTGGACTGTTACTGTGTATTTTTGTGCCCAAATGTTACATCATTTTAGTGCAGCCTGAGAGAAACATTAAGAAAGGAATGACTGGGAAACATGTCAAATGAACTTAGACTTTATGTCGAAGGTAATTTTAACTGGCCGTGTGGCAAAATTTGAAATTGTAATTTGAAAATAATTTAGAAAAATGTTTGCTTATATGAGAAACAAAATAAAATTCCACATGAAACATGTTTCAATAATATTATTTTAATACTATGCTTCAAGTGAGGACATAACTGAGTTTCACTCTTACTGTAAATTAATATGAGTTACTGAGTGAATTCCTATAACTGCATTAATAAAAAATATAAGCTCTATATACAATGTGGTGTCAGTAGTATCTGGAGTATCTGTGTGCAGTTATTGCCCTTCAACTCTGGAAACAGTGTCACAGGTTTCTGGAGACGTGCCTTTGCAAACGACATAGTTACCACTGTGTAAGTATGTAAGTATAAGTCTGGCATGGAATTTACATAATTAATAATTAATGACAATTAATGATTATATTTTTTATCAGTTACCAAATTTGCATGGCAGTGACACAAAGGATTGTGCCTTGACTGCAATTAAGCTAAGCAATGGCAGGAGAAACCTAGCCATTTCTTCACCTCACAGTTAGCATCAGTTCATGCAGTTGACATCCAAAACCACTTCAGTTTTACACATTTTAACTTCATTGATAATTTGACCCAAACTTCTAGTCCAGTTCTAGTGTACCACACCAGAAGAAGAAGATATATACTTTATTAATCCCCTATTGGACAGAACCAACCATATAACCGTTACCACATTTATACTGTGTGCAAAATATGCAGGAATGGAGTTGATTGTAGTTTAAATAAAAAAGTTCTACATGTCTTCTTACTGACCTGCCTACGTAATCATTATCATTAACTGTTTAGTCTAATTCAGTCAATTCCACCTTTAACCATGATCATTGTGCACAATGGTGCACCTTTTTTGCTGTCCTTTCTGTGGTGGATGTATCCCTGTGTTGTGTTTGATGCCTCCCCTCCCTGTGCATTTATTTCCCAGAGCATCATGATCTAAAAGCTTTCTTTATTGATCCACGGTTCTGTACAAGCAAGTAATAACTGAAAATCACCGCAAATATTTGTCTTTAGTTCCCTCAGGACAAAAGCCTGACTATGTTACAATACAGTGACACACAGTACTTTGCAAACATCAGAGTATTTTGAAGTACAATCAATAATTACTTAATTGTCATTTATTTTATTCGTTTAGAGTGTGTACAATTCTAAACCCATTGACCTTGGATGAATCCAAAACTAAAAAGCTGGAAGTCTTTTCCCCAAAATAATTTGCCCCTACGAAATATCATACACAAGTTATACAAGTCAGAAGCTTCTTGTAACTTATTTATCTCCTTGTACACTGTACTTAAGTCACAATGTTGCAATATGAGTTGCTAACTGTCTATCACTGCCCAGTTTAAACAAATGTAAAATAAATCCTAATTTGTGAAGACAATGTTTAAATAACAATTACAGTGTTGAATGGAAATCTTAAATATTTTAAAAAGGTTAAGTTATGACAAGTTACTTTTTCCCCATCAGGTGCTGTTTTGTATTCTGTTCTGGTTTCAGTAAAATAATGTAGCACTTTGGAGCAAACAGGCAGAACAACAAGCCAAAGCTGGACGCTAGAATGGCAAATGACTCCACTGCATCTGCATAATTTCCAGGTGAGCTGACATAAGCAGGGATAAATGCTAGCCACACAGCACAGAAGATCAGCATGCTAAAAGTGATGAACTTGGCCTCGTTGAAGTTGCTTGGCAACTTACGGGCCAGAAAAGCCAAGACGAAGGACAGACAGGCCTGTAGACCAATAT